CTCAGAATACAGTAGGTTCCATATGCGACTGACAATTCCAACTGCCTTGCGGGGGGGGGGAGTTTGAGGTGTGGAATGGAGTGAAGTCCAATCAGCTTCCATATGCAAAAGACCTTGGAATGCTGGGCGAGACTGCACAAAGCTGCCAGTCAACCCAGCCAGCGTCTTCTGACTGACAGTTCTTGCGGCCAAACACTAAAGGTGTGCATTTGGAATGTTGGAGCCCACTACGGCTTTATATATAAGGGAGAGATACTGGCACCTTACTTTTTACAAAAGAAGCACTGATACCAGAGTTCCAAATCCTGTGCAGACATATATGGGGGGTATTTGTAGGAGAGAATCAGTGGCAATGGGATGGGGTCTTTCTGTCTGCCCTCTCATTTGTGTTATTACACTGTAGAGCCTGTGTGGTATAGTGGTTAGATTGCTGGGCTAGGATCTTGGAGGCCCCAGTTTCAACCTCCATTCTGCTATGGAAGCTTGCTGGGTGACCTTGGGTGAATCACAAACTCTTAACCTGACTGTAATGATTTCATGTTTAACTGTGTGTGTGTGGCTTTAAAAGTTTGGTTTGCATGGCTGTGATGATAATCTAGAGTGCTGGAATCAGGCAAGTGATATGATTGGTGAGTGACAGAGAGGGGGAGGGGTTTTGGAATGGATGCTGTGTGGAGGATTTGAATGTCTATCAAGAGGGTCAGTTAGATATGACAGTTGATGAAGATCAGTTAAGTTCTGATTTCTGTGAGAGAAGCAGAAGTTCTGTGTATGAGAGGAGTGAGACCCATCCCTGTGTGGGATGAGTTTAGTCGGGAATCTGAAGGAGAGACCTTCTTGTGTGTGTTATGAAAAGTTGAAGTATAAAGAAACAGTAACCATATATGGCCTGAAGGAAAAAGTGTTACAAAGTTACCTAAGGAAAAATCCCTGTCAGTAGGGAGCAGACTGTGTGTTATACCTACTTTACTAGTTACATGGTTCTACCCTCATATTTATGCTTTCTTTAAATAAATCCTATTTCATTCAAGTATACCAGCTCTGGAAAGAATCTTTCCTCAGACCACATAGTTCCTCGAAAGCTTAAATCCTCGATATACCTACCCAATGATGAATATTATATTATAAAGGTTTGGAAAGCCTTAAATTTCCTGGTGGCAGCCGGATTACCCAGTAGAGAAAAACACAAAGTACACTTTTAAAGGGAAACCAGACCTCCCCAGTAAAGGGGTCGTCACACTGACCTACCTCACAGGGTTATTGTGGGGATAAAATGGAGGTGAGGAGAATGATCTAAGCTGCTTTCAGTCCCACTGAGGAGAAAATCAGGTTATAAATGTAGTAAACAATTAATAATACTTCACAACTATCTGTTTGGCTCTTATAGCGAAAACATGATGTTCCAGAGCTTACAGAGAGTATCTTCAGGCAACAAGGGTGGTGGGTGGAAGAAAAGGGAGAAGAAGGGAATGTTCTCTCTCTGCTATAGTCTATAATATAGATTTTGCCAGCCATAACCACCTGACCTTCCCAACCAATCACAGTGCTGTCTCCATGGAACTTTCTAGAGTGACAGCAAGTTCCCCTCTCCCATACCAGATTTACAGCTGAACTATGTGAACTAATTAACAGGCTCTTGAGATGACCTTGGCAAGTAACAGTCAGTTTGAGGGGGGTTTGGCTGACATGTGCAAGCTTTTGGAGTACCAGAAGATGAGAAATTTAGCAGGAATTTTCCTCTGATGGCTTCTCCCTTAACAGCAACCCATATTGTGCTTATTACAGTATCCATGCTGGAAACAGATTTTCATGATATCCCTGCATTCCAACTACCTTTTATAGATGGTTGAATACATTGATTTTATGACATTTTCATATATTTATCCATGGGAATAATTTTAAAAGCTATCCAATGGATACAAAATAAATAAAAACTTACTGTATGGGACTGTGTGTGGAACAGCCAGGAGATCCCGAAGGATTGTTTAGTTGTCTGAAGCTCTAGCTCTTTTTTGGCACCACTAGGTGGTGAGCTATGCTTATTTATAGGCTCAGAGTGCTGTGACTTGCCCAAGGTCACCCAGTTTCAGGGTCGTTCATAAGATCAGTGTTTATTGACGGATCCAGTACTAATGATCACGTATACAGCTTGTGTCAGGAATAGCCTTTAGTATAAGGGCCTCTGACTTATAGTGAAATCAAACATCCCCCCCCAATGAGCAGAAGCCAATGGTTATACTTCGCGCACAAGGCCAAGCAAGCAAGCAATCTTAGCAAAAAGCCTTTGCGTTTCCCAGCCTAGTAATTGCAGCTGGAGACTACAAGGTCAAGCCTGAGATAGCGCACAGTGGCTGGACAGGGTAGAGCTGAGAACATTTCAGATCCATGACAGGGCTACCTTGACACCCAGCTGGCTTCAATTGGGGAAGTCGGGAATCAAACCCAGTTCTCCAGATTAGAGGCCACCACTCTTAACCACGACACCAAGCTGGCTCCTTTGTTGGATACAAAATGTTATGTTGGAACTGGCAAAAAGTTATCTTTTTTATCACCTGTGGGCTGGACAACTCCTTGTGATTCCTTCTAAATCCTTTCATTTTTGTGACATGGACTACTATCAACATTATTTTATTTTCTTTTTTTTACAAAAAGCACACCAAAGCAGACAGTGACTTGCTTTATCCATTCTTCTTTCTGGATGTACTGGTTGCCTTAGTAACTGCAAATTGAGACTTAGTTTTAATATAATTGCTCCATATGTTTGTACAAATTACACATCACTATGGTCCCTTAAAACAGTGAAAATTGCTGCTAGAAATGTAAAAGAAAATTAATGATCAAATGCCATGTACTAATATGTACAAAATATTTAAATAATATACTTATCAAGGATACTGTTACCTTCTTCATGCTTTAATTTGTGCACCTCAATTAAAATATTGAAAAAGTCCTAAAATATGTAAGCACAGCATCGCCTCCTGTAAATTATTCAAAGCCAAAGCAAAGCACTTGGCAAAGCTGAAGATATTTCAATGCAGGCTGACTTTAAAATAGTTTTATTTGACACTGACAGATTTATTCTATATGCGGGGATTCATTCTGTTTAGGCCTTGAGAATGATATGCACACATGCTATCCTACTATGCATATTTATGTTTTTTATTTCTGGCAACAGCTAAACATGTTCCTCTATATATTGAACTTAAAGTTGAAAGATAAAATCTGCACCCTGATCCAGTGATTGTGTTATGTGCAAGCCTTACATGAGTAGGATAGTTTTCACAAGGGCATACACATGTACAAGGCAAAGGAGCAGGTGTAGAGACTTGCCTGATGAGCTCAGAGGGAATTTTTACTGTTGTGACCAATAAGCTGTCAAACTCACAGAGATTAAGTTTTCCTGTTCTTTTTTAAATCAAGGATTTAAAATATAAACTAGAAGTATAAATTATATAATTATAGATTAGAAATGTAATATTTTTTTATTTTTAAAGAACTTTGATGAATTGTGGAATTTATCATGGAAGGTGCCACCTTTCTCTTGCATTATTTGGTCATGTGATATCTTAGTTTTCACACTAACTTAATTTTTTTACAAGCAATTATGTAACATTATGCCTTGCAGTGAATGAAGAATTTTGTTTGTGCCAAATTCCTATTTGAAATGTTATTTTAATATGTAATGTCTTTAAAAGCTATATTGACAAATTATTCTTGCTACAGTAGTTTGAAGTACTAAGCAATTTAAAATGTTGTGTTGCTAACTATTTAATTTTATTTAATGAAGTGTGAAATAGAATGTAGAAGCATTTACATTACCTGATGAAACTGAGACCTGTAGTAATATTCAGTATTTTCTTCCCTCCTATTTTCTGTTTTATTAATGTAAAACACTACACACACAATGCATTGTATGGTTGAAGCAATATTTCTTGGTTATTTTCACTTCATTCCTAAACATATTTATTTAGAAGTACGTCCTGTTCATTGCAAAACTGCTTTCCCCTAATGACTGCGTAAGGAAAAGGCAATACAGAGTTCCCTGAAATGCTCATAGCAATAAGATTTTTTCAGGGGTCATTTCGTAGAAAAAGAGCTATCCAATAAAAGTTATCATATGAACCATCTGGGGCCACACACCCTGACATAGATCCAGGTTGGGAAACTCCTAGAGCTTTGTCAATGGACCCTGGGAAGGACAGGCACCTGAGTGGGGTTAGGGTTGCCAACTCACTTTTTGCCGGGAGTGGGGGGCTCCCGGCCGGCGTCCTCTTTGTGCACGCGCGCATAGTGCGCACGCGCCCCGCGTGCGTCACCCAGAAGTGACGTCACACGCTGGGGGCAGGGTGACGCCATTTGAGGGGAAAACTCTTTGTTTTCCCCTCAAATGGCGTCGCCCCGCCCCCAGCGTGTGATGTCACTTCCGGGTGACACACACACGGGGGTGGGGTTTCCCCCGGGCCCCGATTCCGCGTGAGCGGGAATCGGGGCTCGAAACCGGGGGGAATTCCACCCCCCGGGGGGATTTGGGACCCCTACGTGGGGTAGGGTACAATGCCATAGAGTCCACCCTCCCAAGCATCCATTTTCTCTGGGGAAACTGGAGATGAGCTGTAATTCCAGGAGATCCTCAGGTTCCACATGGAGCCTGGCATCCTTAGGTCCTATCTGTCTGTCTTCAGGATCAAACATACCAGCCAAGAACATGAGAGAGAACACACAGCTGGACGTTTACTACCATTTTCTGCAATTGCTCCCACTTTCAAAGACAAAGTGCTTTGTGCTTGGAATGGTGGCAAAGAAAAATGAAAGTTAAACTCTTGCTGTTTGTGTACTTGTACATACAGCCATGTACATACAGCCATTTCTTATCCCCTAGCCATAATTATTGGTGTTAGGCTTTTTTGCTAAATATAAACTGTAATAACAATGCTGTATATACAAATTTTGAATAAGAATTTTTTTAAAAAAAACCTAGGCTGCACAGAACTGGGGCAGCAATGACTGAAACACCAGTCAGTTTGTAGTAACACCAGTCAGCTTGTAGTAACACCAGTCAGCCACCAGAAGTTTTTTTCCTCCCTTGAAACTGTGTGTAATTTGAATTTTATCAAAAGCTGCAAACTACTCATAAAGCTCTATCCAATAATAGTAGCTCCGTAAGATAGTTAATAGTGCCAGTAGTGCCAGTCAGGTGTTTGGGAGGAAGACCTGGATACTACCAAGCGGCTGATCAGCAGGGCTACACATGCACAGCTGAATCACAGCATGGAACTAAAGTGCTCATACACACATGCTGATTGCAACTTCTAAAATGTTTGCTTCCCTCCCCCCTATCACCACCCTGAATCATTTTAGGTGCAAATGAAAAGATGTCGTTGGACTCCCCCGCCAAGCAACGTAGTTGTACTGCTGTAAATACACCATCTGCATGTGTTAACAAAGCAATACATCACATTCAAGATTTAGAAGTGAAAATGGAAGCATCCTTTCAACAGGTAACACATATTTGTAGGAGTTTAATGTCAGTAGTTAATTATTTAATTCTATTATGGAATAATACTTCCTAGGAGGTACAGGCAATTGAAGCTATCTTTATTTTCTCTGCAAATGTCAAACTGATTGGCCGGCAAAAGGTAAAGGTAAAGGTTCCCTTGCTCGAAAGCCAGTCGAATCCGACTCTAGGGTTGCGGTGCTCATCTCCGTTTCAAAGCCGAAGAGCCAGCGCTGTCCGAAGACGTTTCCGTGGTCATGTGGCCGGCATGACTAAACACCAAGGCGCACGGAACGCTGATACCTTCCCACCGAAGTGGTCCCTATTTATCTACTTGCAATTTCTTGCTTTCGAACTGCTAGGTTGGCAGGAGCTGGAACTAGAGACAGGAGCTCACCCTGTCTTGCGGCACCTGGGTCTTGAACCGCTGAACTACTGACCTTCCACAGCCTGCAGCTCAGCGTCTTAACCACTTGAGCCACCGCAGCTCCTATTGGCCGGCAAGGTGGGATATAAATTGAAAGTAATAAATAAATAAATAAATGTTCCACTTGTTTGGGAGCGCCTTAAAGCTACCTTAGTATAATCTAAGCTACTTTAGTATAATCTATCTAGTTATCCTGTTTCTTACATAGTTATAATGCATAGAAGAGGCGTGTTTAGTTTTGTAAGTTTATTTTGAACAAGGATGAGTGGTACTTCAAAAAATTATAATGGCAATCCTGTGCACAGTTTCTTGGGTGTAAATCTCATTGATTCATTGGGAAGTTCAGTAGGATAGTTTTCAAAATAAGCAAGCACCAAGTTCAATATAATTTACTACCCAGTAAGTGTGTTTGAGGTTATAGACTGAATGTCTGAACTAGACATCAGTCCCAAGCATACTTATTGGTTGGACTTTTGATTCTTGAGTCATTCTTATAATTTGATAAAATAAATTTGCTTTCATGGCCATGACACAAATAGTTGTCATAGATGAGATGGGATCCAGAAACAGTGCTGTCCTAAGCTGGGCTACTTGCACATAAAAAGGCTTTTCTGTTAAAAAAAAAAATCTTACAGCTGTGTGGACTCTTTTTGTTATTGTTGCTAAACCAGTCTCTAAGAAATCATGGATTCCACCAATGCTGTTTATCTATCCTCGAGCAGCTTCTGGAGAGCCAAGCAGTGACACTTAAGACTGCTACCTGTACAGTGCCTCAAAGGATTGACCCTGAAGGAAACCAGCCCTTGGCAAGATTGTAGCCATAGTGGAGGTGCTGTGAGTTTCTGCCCCTCTCAGAGATGCTTTTGGCTGCTTCTTTGAATATTCAGCTTTCAGTTTAGGGTAAAACCCAAGTTTCTGGCCCTTTTACTTATAGAGATAAAAGAATAAACATGTCTAGGCACTGTTCAGCTACTCAGTTCAATGTGAGCTCTTTTCTGACTTTGGGCATTCTGTCCAATGAGTGCGAAAGTACAGAGAAGAGTGGCAAACATTGCCGCTTACTTTTCCATTCTATTAAAACTTTAACTTATTTTAATTATTTAGTAAGTTATATATATTCTGTTTTTGTTTTTAGGTTTTTGATGCTTATGTCAGACCTTCTTAGGGCCCACTCACTGCAAAAAAACTTTTTTGTAGGCTTGGTATTTGATCAAGGATGAAGCTACTGAACTGATGCCTTTTTTTTGCAATGTAGAATAAAAATACTTTGAAGTAAGGGTTCAGCGGGATTCAAAGCATTATTGACATCAGCAAAACCGGACTAATGTTAAGCTCACTATCTATTGAGTTTTTCCTTATACATTAAATCACAAATAGCACAAAGGTTGATCCTTTGCTCCAGTTTTCCTTAGTTACACAACTTTGCTGAGTGTTGCCTTTGGCTGAGGCAGCAGGTGTCTAAAGTACATTGGCCTCCCCTGCTCTACCCTGCTGCTTTGTCTACACTGTTCCATCTGATGTATTGACAGTCTTTGCCCACTGCCCAGAAATTGGTCCATTGTGGGGATATCCACATGCAGAAACTCTGGGAGCACTCCCCAACTGCTAGATTGCCATCTGGGGTACTGTAATTGTTCCTATAGTTTTAATATTGGAATGATGTTTTAATTGATTGCTTTATTTTTTTTGTTGTAACCCGCCCTGAGATCTGCAGTGCAGGGGAGGGTGGGATAAAAGTCAAATAAATAAATAAAATAGTTACCAATTAGTTAATATGGATACTCATGGCAGATGTTTATTCCTTAATTAGCAGGGTGATAATGGAATAATCAAGTTTCACTTCTCTAAGAAATTGTAGTATGTTTGTAAACATTACCATTACTTGGCTTGCCATGTTCAGGAAGCCAACATTCAGATATGCAGTACCTCATATATACCCCAAAAGTTATAGCAGGACTGCAAATAAAAATGGATATGTGTGTATGAAATCAAATTGTGGCTCACAAAGCAGTTTTTAAAATAATTCTTTTTATATATGTATTAGTAGTTGTCTTATAATGTACAGTAACAATATTCTACATTGAAAACAAATTCTAACATGTAAATGATTTACTGAAATTTCTCATTTATACTTGCAGTATGATCATTTATGTAAGCTGGAGAACATTCCATGGTAAGGATATTATGATTGTGTGTCTGTATTTTTGAGGCATCATTTTAACATTAGAAATTACACAATATGAATTTACCAAATATGTCCTCTATTTTGTATGGAAGTATAATGTGGATTTTAGAAAACTGGTAGGTGTTCTCAAGTCACACACACACACGAAGCTGCCTTTTACTGAATCAGACCATCGTTTCATTAAGGTCAATATTGTCTACTCAGACTGGCAGCACCTCTTCATAATCTCAGGTAGAGGTCTTTCTCATCACTTACTACCTGATACTTTTAACTGGAGATGCCAAGGATTGAACATCTGGGACCTTCTGCATGCCAAGCAGATGCTCTGCTGATGAGCCACAGCTCCTCAGCACATTTCTCTAAGACAAGAAAATTATTCTAAGCATGAGACAGTTTTAGCTGGTGGTGCCCATTAATATTTTGGGATTAATGCTAGAGTGGAGGTAAGAAGTGCCAAAAAGGAGGGAAAATAGTGATTCAAAAACATGCATCCAATAGCATTCCAGTAGCACCAAGGGTCCCCAATCTTTTTAAGCCTATGGGGACCTTTGGAATCCTGACACAGTGTGGTGGGTGCAGCTGCAAAATGACCATCATAAAATTACTGCTGCAGAAAGTGGCGTCAGCCATAAAAATGGTTGCCCCAGCTCAGTCGCACAGTAAAGATCCTTGTGGCATTTCCAAATGCTAGAGAATTGGCTATAGGCTGTGAGGCATTTGTAAGCCATTTTGCAGATAAAGTCTTGTCACTCCGCCATAATCTTTCAGCTGCACTTGATACAATAAAGGAACTGGAAGCTCCTTGGCCATCTTCAGGTCCAGTGTTGGACCATTTCAGTCTGCTCACCCAGGAAGAAGTTGACAGGGTCCTGGATGCTGTGAAGCCCACTACATGCCCCCTCAATCCTTGCCCATTGTGACTGGTGATAGCCTGTGCTGATTAGGTGCGGACCCCTCTGAGGGAGAGCTGTCCCTATCAATGGGAGCCTTCCCAGAGGGATTGAAGGAGGTTGTAGTCTGCCCCCTCCTAAAAAAAACCTGCTTTGGACCCTACGGTCCTTATAAACTACTACCCAGTGTCTAACCTACCGTTCCTGGGTAAGGTAGTGGAGAAGGCGGTGGCAACACAGCTCTAGTTTTTCCTGGAGGATGCTAATACTCCGGATCCCTTCCAGTCCAGTTTTCACCCTGCCCACGGGACGGAAACAGTGCTGGTTGCCTTAGTGGATGACCTCCGAAGACACCTGGACTGAGGCGGATCGGCACTGCTGATACTTCTTGATCTGTCAGCAGCATTCGATACAGTTGACTATGATCTGTTGACCCACTGCATCACCAATGTGGGGATAAGGAGGCTTGCCTTGCAGTGGCTGATCTCCTTTCTCCAAGCTCGGGGACAAAGGGTGGCACTTGGGGGGGGGATTATCTCAGTGACACCTGCTAGAATGTGGTGTGCTGTAGAGGTCGATTCTCTCCCCAATGCTGTTTAATATCTACATGCACCCCCTCACCCAGATTATCCGGAGGTATGGGCTGGGTTGCCACCAGTATGCGGATAACATCCAGCTCTATCTACTGATGGATGGCCACCTGGCTGGTTGGTTACAACAGAGCAGTTTGAAATTGAATCAATTGAAGAAGGAGATCCTGTACCTGGGTCATGGGGGATTGGAATTGGGGATTGGGCTCCCAACCTTTGACAGGGCCCTATTGGTGCTGGTGCCAAAAAAGAAGAGCCTGGGGGTGTTCCTGGATGCCTCACTAACTCTGGAGGCCCAGGTTGCCACCACTGCCAGGTCTGCCTTTTTCCATCTGAGACAGATCAGGCAGTTGGCCCCATATCTCACTCCCCGGGATCTGGCTACAGTGACCCATGCAATGTTCACTTCCCTTGATTCTGCTCCAGAAACTAAAGCTGGTGCAGAACGCAGTGACATGGTGTTGACTTCATTGTCTTTGTGGACATGGATCCACCCAGTGCTGCATGAACTGGCTACCTATTGAGTACCAGATTCATTTCAAGGTGTTGGTGCTTACCTTTAAAGCTCTATACGGCCAGGGGCCTACATACCTGCGAGACCGTCTCTTCCTCTACAAGCCCCAAAGGGCTTTATGATCTGCCAGCCAACATCTTCTGGTGGTCCCCGGCCCCAGGGACGTCCATCTCACCTTCACTAGGGCCAAGGCCTTTTCAGCCCTGGCCCTTACCTGGTGGAATGAGCTCCCATATGAGATTAGGGCCCTGTAGGACCTTTTATAGTTCCGCCGGGCCTGCAAGACAGAGCTTTTCCACTAGGCTTTTAACTAGGGCAGCAGACATCCCTGCCTCTCTATTGGGCCTCCTCTCAGTGGGTCAGAACTGCCCTACCACCCAGGGACCAAATCTTGAAAGAGATGACATCTGTGAGGCTTTAACTTTGACTGTAACTTGCACGGGATGAATGATGCTGTTGTATTTTATTGGTGTTTTAACTGTTTTATTTTTTGTATATTGTATTTTCTACTCAATTTGATGGAACCTGACCTGAGCCTGCTATGCTGGGAGGGCAGGATATAAATAGAATAAAATGAATAAATAAATCAATCTGCACAGACAGTCAAAAGCCTTGCTGGGCAAAAGCCCCAACTGTGCCTATCCAATTTTTAAAAACATGTGTGCGGGCACCAGAAAAGGTGTCATGTACCATGGTGCCCATGGACACCATGTTGGGGATTCCTCTACTACACATTACAAATTATAAGATGTAGTTTTGACCTTTAGTTGTATCGAGATGGATCTAAAGGTTGTTTTCTACCAGTAGAGGATAGGGACAAGTTTTACAGATTTCCCCACTATTGACCTTATCCCCCCACCCGATAACAGTATTTTGTAGAGCTTAATGGGTTACAGTAAAAGACAGTTGATGAAAACCAGCTCCTTTCTGCTTATACAAGTGATTCATGCTGGCAGAAAATAATGGATCCAGTCCATTTTTCAAAAAATTGCTTTGTGGTGTATCATAAGCAAAATAAGAGATTCCTGCTCAAAGAATATCAAGAAATAGGGGGTAATAACAGAGGTGATAGGAATGAGAGGTAAGGGTAAGAAAATATGAATGTGAGCAATTACAGCATATATGTTTGTTTTGTTTGGGAATGGGAACTGGAAGATTGAAGGTGATAAGTCCAGTAGCTTCACAGAAGATCTGAAGAAAGAGAAGTACTGTGTAGATGAGGAGAAGGCATTCTAGACTTAAAATGTTGACTTCTGTTTTAAGGTATTCAGATATGAAAACTGCTGAAGAAACTAAAGATATCTGGTTATCAGCCTCTTCTGAACTGAAGGCTGACGTGTCAGTGTATTGGAACGGTAAATATAATTACTTACTTCCTTTGTCAGAATTTTTTGGGGTCCAGTTTTTTAGTTGGCTTAAATCTAATACTGTTTGTACTAGAAAGATAAGTCACCAAATGGCAGGAATGTGAAAGTGGCCCTAAGAATGAATGCGGTACTGTGAGCAATTTTTTTAGCGTAAGGCAGTGTGTATGGGTGAGGATTTTTGAGAGCTGTAGAGCCCTGACTTGGTCCCTCACTGAAGATTGCAAGTTCCCAAAATATGGTCCATTATCATCTTCGGTTCAGCTTTCTAATGTTAAATCTCCTGCTTCACCAGTAAAGGTGGTAGACAGCCACACATTTTCAGATATCTGGAATATCATTAAACAAACAAGGGGTACCTATTGGGAATATACATTGATAAGGTACATAAGAGAGGGTTGATTTAGTATTTTCTTCTTAGGACACTATGAATTCCTTGTCTGGTGAATAAGAATCATGGAATGTCTTTTTTTAAATTTACTTCATTTATGACCTGTCTTTCTTTCCCATGGGGACCCAAACCAGCTTACATTGTTCTTTTCTCCTCCATTTTATCCTCACAACAACTCCATGAGGCTGGTTGGCTCAAGGTCACCCAGCAAGTTTCCATAACAGAGGGGATTCAAACATGGGTCTCCTAGATTCTTTTCCAAAATTCTAATCACTATACCACACTGACCACAACATGAAACCTACAGTGACATGGTGCCAGGCCTCTTCAGGGTCCCTTCATCCATTGGGCCCATGGAACTTGTTTGGTGAGAGGGGGGCTAGGCAAGCCAATGCCGTGTCTTTAGAACTCTGGGTATGTGGCCCTAGGGACACAGTCCTGTTACCTGTATGATCCTTGACAAACGGTAATCCTGGGGAGGTCGGTGGCATTGGGCCTTTTGAAAATCCTCTCTGCAGCCTTTACTGTAGGTTCAGGGCTGATCATTTGCTCTCTTCCCTTTAGTTTCAAATATCACATGGGTACCCAGACTTTGAGCTCTGGCTGTCCTGGGGCTGTTCCTGTGTGCTGCTTTTTGCTGAAATATGAGGGTACAGATCATGCTCAACTCTTAGTCCATTTTTTAGAACTCATGAACCATTATCCACAACTAAAACTCCCAGAGTCTCAGTGAAATCTATGTCTGACTGGTAAATCATGAAATGAAAAGGTGGAAACTCTCCCAAAAAGTTTTTAAGACAAGTAATAATACTCATAGTCAGTGTTCCCTCTAAGCTGAGTTAGTGTGAGCTAGCTCACAGATTTTTAGCCTCCAGCTCACACATTTTTGTCTTCTCAGGAAGGATAGCTCCAGAGCAAACTAATTCATGCAGTAGCCAAATCACCTGCTCACAACTTTGATGCCAGTAGCTTACAAAGTAGACGTTTTGCTCTCAAAACTCCACAGCTTAGAGGGAGCATTGCTCATAGTAAACCATTCAAGTGAATGGTAAACTGTCATCCTTGTCTGTTTTTCCTCAAGTTGGTATTTGTGGAAGAAATTGATTTTGCTTAGAAAGTTAGTTAAATTATAGTTCTAAGGTATAATCCCATCTCCATAGCTTGAAACAAGGATATCTAGGGAACAAATCTAAGCAAGTCTACTTGGAAGTAAGTTCCATTTTATTCATTGGTACTTACTTCCAGGAAAGTGCTATTAGGATTGCAACCCTAGATACTTTTGATATCTTACTTTTCCATGCATTTCTCCACATCTTGGTCCACGTCTCCTATTTTGTTCCAGAATTTTTGTGGGTATTTTAGCAAATTGGGTTGATTCAATAAAAGAAATCTTTCATCCAAGTGATTGTGGCAGAAATAAACTGTGTTCAAATGTGAGCTCTTGTCCATATATTCCTGCACAGCAAAAATGTCTCAAATTGAGTCAGATTAGACTATGGGGAGGCAAGCACTCAGTGACAGAACTTTTTTTTTGCATGGAGAAGGTCCTAGGTTCAATCTCGAGTTAAAAGAATTAGATAAAAAGCCTTGGCGCATTGTTGCTAGTCAGAATAAACAGTACTGGTCTCAGTAGACCAGTGGTCTCACTCTGCTTCATGTTTCATTCATGTACGTATGAACAGCTGAAGTGACCTCAGTAATGAACAAAGGTGTGGGCGAGTTGGAAACAACTTGATTAAATGGGGGCGGTGGTTGTTTTTTGTAGGAAGACAATAAGTGCAGAATTTCTGTTTCAATGAAATGTTGATTTCTGTATAGATTCTGTACTTTAGTGGACTAAGTTCTAGGACAGCATGTGTAACATGTTAACATGATGAAAATGAAGCTGAAATTGTGCATTTTAGAGATGTTTATTTATTTGATTTAGAATATTTATGTCCTGCCTTTCCTTCCAAGAAGGGGCCCAAGGCATTTTACCAGGATAACAAATAATAAACCAACAAGATATACCTGAAATGCTGTTGTGTGTATTTTTTCCACATTTTTGATTTTTTAAAAAGATATACAGCCTTTAAAGCAGAAAACAACAGATGTTTTGGCGGAGGCTACAGAGTTAGTTACAAGACTAGAACATGAATGCAAAGCTGCTGAAGAAGCTTTGGAGGTTGAAAGACACCGTAAGAAAAAACTACAGCTAAATTCTGATTACCTGTCACTTTGGAGGCTCCAACAGCTTCCCGTAGCTGTTCAGGAAGGTATGAAAATACTTATAGAAATGGGGAGTATAATTATCTGCTGTACCAGTAAACTGTGTTAGATATTTTCAGTACTGTATCCCTAAATCCTCCAGTGCAATGTAGTGCCATTTTAGAGCTTGGGTTTTGACTTTTCAAAATGCCATGGACCCCAGCACCTGCTCCTATCCCTCCCCCCATGCTCCTATCCCCCCCCTCAATGCAGCGCCTCATTCCACTGTGCTGTGTTCCCCAGCAGAGTTCCCCTGGCATTTTGAAAAGTTTAAAATGATGCCATGTCCTTGATATGACTTGGGGATGTGGCATTGTCTAGTGGCCCTTACAGTAAGCCCTACTTAGCATAGTAAGGTGGTGGCCTTGAGTTGTAGATTTGGAGGGCAGGCAGTCTCTTTCTCTGCCATCACCCCTTATTTGCCCACTTGTCACTGCCTCCTGCTCCTCACCTCTGCCCCCCCACCCAAGACCCACAGCTTGTATTTTTTCTTTCCCTTCTCATTTTCTCAGGCATCTTCACAGCATGGTAAGCCACATGCTCAATAGGTCTCCCAAAACTCTTACAAGAGAAATCTCATGAAAGTTTGAGAAGCCCTAGCTAGCATGCATGGTTTGGTGCACTGTGTTTAAAATGTCTGGGGAATGAGGAAGAAAGGAGTGTTAGCTGCTCCAGGAAGAGGCACTGAGAGATGGTGGGAGCAGGTGAAGGTGGTAGGCAGTGACCTCAGAACTGATACTGTTTCAACTGAACAGAATAGGATTTACTTCTAAGTATAAGATTGGGATGTTGGGCTTACTTTGTTCTTTTTTAAAAACTCTATTTTTTCTTAATTTTATAACATTTACAACTCCATAACCATACAATATAACTCAATAACTTAACTTTAAACAAATAACAAATAATTAATCATAAACATATAAAACCATATAAAACTGGAACATCAATCATAATATAACAATTATTGTAGGTGTATATAAGCACATTTAAAACTAATACAATGCCAACGTATTATATTTAACAGGAAGAACATTAAATTGACTGGGCTTACTTTGTTCTTACTCTGAGCTCTGTTGACATTTATCAAAGTTTGGACATGTGCCTGCTTATCAGTGAGTAAGACAAATACAAAGAGTGTACCTAGTGCTTTGACCTCAGGCAGAATATGTCAAGCCTGATTTTTTAAATACCTGGAGAATTTTATGAAAAGTTGCCCTCCCAGCCAGTCCTCTACACCACTATTAATTGCTTTGCTTAATCCATTTATCTTTCAAAAGTGCAACATCTGTTTTACCAGGTAACTCTGGTCGGCAAGTTTGTGTTTAATTACAGCTCCTAACAGCAACAGCCTTACCTAGCTGTTTTGTGACTCTCTCTGGGAGCTTCCATATTCTCTTTCTGCTGATGCTTACTACAAGGGATGAACCAATATGGCTATTTTCTTTCTTTTATTGATTCTGTATACTGCCATTGCCATTAGTTTTGGTCTGCCTTATTTTCATTACTGTTCATATTTCTTTTTTTACACTATTTCCCTGCCACTTATATGTAACTGACATGTTAACAGTATTTAAAAATGCATACATTTTTTGCCATGAACAGCTCAGCATGAGTAAATAACTCATGAGTTCATTACTTCCAGGGGAAAAGCTAGGAACTTAGTGTGCAGAGGGAAACAAGATACTGGTGCCTATATGCCAATGCTAGATGTCTCCAAGACAAGACGGGAGGAGCTAGAGTGCTTGTTGCTAAATGATAATGTAGATTAAGTGGGCATTTCATAAACCTAGTAGAATGGGAAAAATAAAAGGGACACTCTTATTCCTGGAAATAAATTCCATAGGCAGGACAGGGTGGGATGTGTTGGGGGCGTCGTTGCAGTGTATATGAAAGACAGCATAGAGTCAAGTAAGCTAGAAAATATTAGGGGAAGAAACTCCCTCACAAAGTCACTATGGGTGGAGATAGCAGTCCCTAAGGATTACTTAAAGTGGGGTTCAACTGTCGCCCCTGATCAAAATCAGAAGGCAGATCTCAAGATGGAGACAAAAATAAAGGATGTGACTGAAGTGACTAAAATGGGTTATTCAGCTATCCTCATGCTGACTGGGCAAATATGTGCCCAAGTCATGCTGTAGAAACAACATTTCTAGTCAATGTAAATGAGTGTGCATTGCAACAGTTGGTCACAGAAGCTAACTGGAGGTGTAGCAACCCTGCACTTGGTTCCAAGTGTGGTTTGAGACCTAACATAGAAATTAGTGCTCTGTTTTGGAAATGTGACCAGTGTTCCCTCTAAGCTGAGTTAGTGTGAGCTAGCTCACAGTTTTTTAACCTCCAGCTCACACATTTTTGTCTTAACTCAGGAAGGATGGATCCAGAGCAAAATAATTCCATCAGTAGCCAAATCGCTTGCTCACAACTTTAATGCCAGTAGCTCACCAAGTAGAATTCTTGCTCACAAGACTCCGCAGCTTAGAGGGAGCATTGAATGTGACCCCTCCAGAACAACAGGGGGGAGGCCAGTTTCAGCCAATTGCTGCATGCATGTGCAGCCTGCAAGGTTGGTGGTGTTGCTTTGCACACCACCTTCCTTGCTTGAGAGAGGGGAGAGAGAGTCAACTCTACCCAACTCTACCCTGTCCTGACCTGCTGCATCCCTGCTGGTTGCACAGGGCAGGGCCTGTATAAATGTTGTTCCTGTTGGTCTTTTGGGGTTTCTGTGTTGCACTGTGGCATGCTTGCACTGCCACAGTGCCACTTGTTCTGGAGTGTGCCACTTGTTCTCATGGCAAACAAACACCTCCCAAGACAATTACAATAATATGCAATGGGTGTTTGCAGACCCTGACAAGGAAACTTTAGCAGAGGTTTTAAAGCTCCAAACTTTACCATGAACCTGGAAAAATTCCTGTGTTTAAGAAATACCAATTCTGTTAATTACAATATAATAATGCTGCTGAAATAGATGATTTTGTCATTGAGCTAAGAAAAACCCCAGTGTTGCCAATTTGGCCCATCTCGGACCTTGTGCTAAGGGACAAAATTGTGTTCAGCATAACAGATTGAACACTTAAGGAAAAACATTTAGAAAAACCTGCACTCAGTTTTGAGCAGGCTATGGATATAAGGTCGTTCCAGTGCCCAGATTATATATGTGTGTGCAGAAACAGCACTGCATGCAATTCACCAGGCCCCTGCACAGGGAAGGAAAACTCTCAGCAAAATATCCACTGCAAGCACAAACAAGAATTTAATAAATGTGGGACTGCACACAGTCCCGTGCAGTGTCCAGCCTTTGAAAAAAATTATTATTAATGCCCCAGGGGAAAAAAGTTTTGCAAAAGCATGCAGGCTGAAGGAAAACAATGCAAAGCTAGAAAAAGGCATGACCATGTTATTTACAGGTTCTGTGTCCAATCAACAGTTTTCCAGGGTCAGTGATCCTTCTAATGCATGGACTAGCAAAGTTGCAATAGCATTCCTCCCAATCTCTCTTAAACTGGACAGTGGAGCAGAAGCAAACACCATCCCAGCTGCAGTCACCAAAACCCTGAAGGATCAAGTGTTTCATATATAAATATAGGTTATACTGGTTGCTTTTGGAGTTGCCCACATTAGGGGCTATTCTGACACATTGCACAGCTTAAAGAAACTGAACTGACCTCCTATATAGATTTAGGTTCTCTGTTTTCACATGTACCGAGTTTAGCTTGGTTGGTCTTGGGAGTGCCACTGGACACAGGCTTCGTTCTCACATTCATTTGTTAGTTCTCGCATTTGTGTCCTAATTTGCTGCCATTCATTGATTTTGCCACCTTGATACAATCTCAGCTTCACTTATGCATCTTAACTCTGACTGGACCTTCTTGATGCGTGCTCTCTCTCTCTTTCTCACACACACACACACACACACACACACACACACACACACACCCCCCAGTGATAGCAGAAAAGAAACATGGATTACTACAAATTTGTTCTGATTGACACAATCTTAGTAAAGCAATCATGAGGCAACAGTTGTCTGTCCTCAGTGTTGAGAATGTCAGGAAGAGTTTGACAGGGAAGAAGTTGTTTACCATCCCCTTCAGAGACTCATAGGGATTATACAGTACCCGACACAATACATTCCAAATGAAGCAAGTCTGACTTGCTTAGGTTGCAATATAATTATTCCTAAAGGGATGTGGTCTCACATGCTGATCCTTCTTCACTCCCTGCATCAAGGAGTACAGTGTTAGTTCTGTTTGTCAGTTAGAATTATAGACTGCATGAACTCCCTTGTCCTGCAACCAGTTATTCCCATTCCTGTGTCCTCTTGCTAATAACTGGATTTGTTTTGAACACACCTGCATCTGCTGTGTGAGTGTAAGAACAGTAACATGAGTGAGTACCCAGTTCCTGATTTGCAAGCAAAAGAGAACATCACCATGGTGTTTGAAGTGGTCCTGTTACTTCTTTGGGTCTCCATGACTGTATAATATCACAAATAGGAACTTTACTATTTACTACTACCTACCCACATCACATGCCTTCTCTATATACAATAAGTATTCCTAACCCAAACAAAATTATATCTGAACTTTGTTCTGCTGCCTCAGACCAACAAGGCTATCCACCTGAATATAAAATTATATCTGACACACAGGAATGGCTGGAAGCCTTTTTTTTGGGGGGGGCATTTTGTTTTATTGAAGTAAGAATTTTATAATTTAACAATACCACCAAAATCATTAGTATTATGAAAAACAAAACTTCACATGCATACTTTATCTTCATATCTTCTTCATCTTCTTTCTTCTCCCAAAATTATTACATGATAATGTTTATGAGATTCTCTAACTATCTTAGCTCATTATAATGGATTTACAATATATTACCAAATTAATCTTTGAACTAAATTATTCTGCAAATAATTAAACTCAGTCCTTGGAGGCCTCAAGGGTCAGGAGTGTGTGGGGAAAATCCCTCCTTCCAAGGACCAATTAAACCTTGGGGGAACATA